CCTGAACTGCAAATTCCTTTTCCCGTACTATTTGTCTGGCTGATGTAAAACTGCTTTATAGAAAGGGCATTTCCCAGACTGTTCTGGTCATCCACTCATTTCTCAACTCTTCTACAAGAGAATAAGAGAAATACAAAAGGACAAATAGCCTGCCCTGTTCTGAGCATCCTCATTGCTTCCTTTTAGTCCCATGAGCAGATGACACCCTGGTATTTATCAAGCCTAAGTGAAGTTTCAGCCTTCCTCAGGATCCAATGGAATAGCTCTGAATCCAACAGAGACTTTGTTTTAGTTAATTTAAGGTTCAGCTCCTGTGGGCCTTGGACTCAATGCCTGAGTAACATCCCTCTCCCCCTGGCTGCAGGGATGCTCCTGTGATCCAAACCCTTTCCCAAATCTTTTTTTGTGCTACACGTCCCTTGTGCCACAGAAGCAAGCAGTGCAATTTCTGCTGATTTCCAGAGATTCATTTCCCAGGGCAGCAGCAAGGACAGGGTCCAGCTGGTTACTCTTGGCCAGACTAAACCATCTTCAAACAGGAACTGTTCATGAAGGCAGGATCAACAAAATCTCAGATCAATGCACTGATTTAGGGCATCTGGGTGCTCTCAGCTCCTTCCTGACATCTGTCACTCACCTTCCCTGGAGAAAGAGACCGCATAATCCAAGGGACTGAGAAAGGAAGGATATCAGAAACGTGCTTTAAGTTGATTCAGTGTTTGAGATGCTTTGCTGCAATGATTTGAAGACCAAAGGATTACAGAGGGTGCACAATCCTAAATTGTCCTTCCCACTGCTCCTTCCAGCCCTGTGTCAGTGCAGGGCATTTAAGGGTGCTGGGAGGTGCTGGATCACCATCCCAAACAGTTTTACTGACCCGGGGTACAAGGAATATCCTGTTCTGTCCTTGTGCTTCAGCTCCAGTTCAGCAAGGCAGCACCAAGCCCACCCTGCCCTCAGGAATAATGCCAGGCTGGCAGGGGTGAAGAGGTGGATGATTCTAGACACAAAATCTTTCCAGAACAATACATCAGCACTCCTTCAGGAGCTGGTCACGCACTTTTGAGCCTGGGAAACAAAACCACTCCATGTCTCATCCTCTCCACCAGTCATAACATGAATTATCATCTTTTTTAAGATGGCACATTGGAAACCAGGGGAAGAGATTTGGTTATTTTAGCAGGTTCCAGCTCTAAAATCATCCCAAAGCCCATCAGTTCCAGAGGCTGTTTCAGACTCACCAGAGCTGATGTGCCTTCAGGACAAAAGGAAACAGAACAAGACCCCACCATCAACACCAAACTCAACTCAGTGTGGAGAGAAGAGACTCATTTGTGTGGAGGTGCTTCCCTTCTCTCTGCTCTGAGGTACACGTGGAATGGATGCACTGAGGAAGGGAGAAGCCACCCCTAATAAAGGGCTGCATGCTGGGTGAGCCAAGCTCCCAGGACACATCTGCACACCAGCACATTTCACCCTGCCAGGATCTGACCCGGCTGAAACTTCCCCACTGCTTATGGCCAGGTTAGAGAGGGGTCACTGTCCCTTCAAAGGCAGCTTAGCAGGACTGACAAAGAACAATATGCACCCAGAAGTCAGGCTGTTCTACACCTCCTTCAGTTACTTTCCAGTTGGTTTGTTGAGATGCAGGAGCACTGAGTAAAGTAGTATGTTGTGATATTTAAGGGATTTTTCAAAATGCTAATTTATTGTCTGACACTGCATGGACAGTCCAGGCAATTCTGCACTGGTGCTGACTCTGAAGTCAGTGTTCACATAATTCACATTTAGAGGATTAGATATAAAATAATCATATTTATGTATGTATTGTTTATAATTTGCAGTTTCATGGGAAAGGATACAATTTACCTCAAAACAAAAGTGTTAGCACTCTGTTAGTAGTGTTGTATTTATGGGCTTCACATACATTTGCAGATACGCCAATTCTGAAGGAAAATCCATAGCATTTTTATGTGGAGAAATGCACAATTTATCAAAAGAAAATGGTTTTGGATAAGAGGAGAAAATTTACAATGTGTTTTTTTGCCAAAAGTAATATAAACATCTCTTTTCCCCCCACAAAATTCAAACTCAAATAATTTATATCAACGCATTTACAATGTGTTTTTTTGCCAAAAGTAATATAAACATCTCTTTTCACCCCCACAAAATTAAAACTCAAAGAATTTATATCAACGCCGCATCTCATTCTGCTGTTGTTTGTTCCATTAATAAGTCAGTAGTAGAGTCTGGAGGATCAGACTCACAGTGTCAAACTGGAAATGGTGCTACAGGAGAAGTTTCTCAAGTACATTTTGTGTTAGGAGCTGGGCTAAGGGGACTCAGTCCTTCTAATAAATGCAATGTTGCACTACAACTTGTCTATAGGAGGGACTGGGTTCAGCTAGATTAAAAGCTGGTGAGAAACAATAGATAAAACAGACAGGACTTGGGACAGCCAAGGAAGCCCCGAGAATGTGGTGGATAAATGGGGTGTCTTGAACCAAACCACACCAGTGCAGGAGAGTATTGTCTGTATGAAGTCACTTAAAGCTGTTCAACAGCAAAACAGGTCCAAATATCCGTGCTCACACTGGGTGGCACCAGAGGAATCTCCCAAATAGTCAGAGTGTGGATATTCCAGCTGGCTTCCACACCTGGAAAAAAATAAAAGATAAATATCCTTAGCCAGGCCCTTCCTGTTTAGAGGATCGTCCCAAATTTGTCCCAAGTTTTTAAAGACCTGAAAGCACTCACTGCAGCCTCCTTGCTCCCCAATTGACAGCAGTTTATCACCAATTCCATTTCAGGGCTATTTGACATAAAATCAATGACCACAAGCCTGACAGTGTGTGGGGCAACCTCACACCCCAGGCTCATGTTCTCATCATGCTGACAACAAAGTTGATTCTTCTTTTACCTTTGCAAGCCAGCCAAAATTGCCAATAAATTACCTGGCACTATTTCCAGTTCAGGTGTTAATCCCTGCAGCCAGGATTTAAACTGCCACTGCTGTGATATTTTCATCTCTCAAAGGCAGAATTTGCAAAAATCTGAAAATACAAGGCCTTGGAAAGCCAGTGAGGGTGTGTTGGACACACTGCCAACAGAGATAGCTTTAAAAATGTACAAATGAGAAACACAAGTCAAATTTTGTAAAGTTTTGGAAATTTGAGTTCTAGCACAAGGGCCTTACTCCCCAAACATATCCCACACCCAAAAGTTCTTTGCACTGAGTATTAAGTAGGACACTTGTCCATAACCTTTGATTTAACACTACGTGGTTAAACATCAGTCTTGGTTTTTGGCACAAGACACTTGGTAAAAGCTCAGCACATTTCCTGGCTGTCTGTTCTAAATGCCTATGAAGATCCTCAGCCAACAGTCAAGTGCTCCAGAAAATTAACAATACTCCTCTACATGCTAATTCCCCTGGTGTCATGTGGATGTTTCTAGTTGGTTCTCCCAGTCTCAAGCATCAGTCAGTGATAACATACACTGGCTTGGAGCCATTGTCTTCTTTCTAAACTTATTGTGACTGCAAATCAAGAGGTGTCTCCCAAAGGAAAAGAGCAAACCTTGCTGAGAACTCTCTGATAACATCCATCCTTGTAAACAGCACTGCACTTCCTAAAACACATACTCACTCCACACAATACTCAAAAGAGTAAATTTTGTTATCCCTGATTTCATCAGGAAATAAATACTGTACTTTTTCAACTGGCACATAGCCAGATAAAAAAAAAAATGTATCCAGGCCAGAGCTTGGTATATGGCATCTCCAGCAATTTTTCTGCATCAATAAAATTTTGGTTTACTGATGCTGAGCAGCTAATGGTAGGTTTGTTTGGTTTTGGTTTTTTTTGGGGGGGGGAGGGGTGTGAGAGGGGGATTCTAGCTGTTAAAATCCTGAATAATTTTTCCCATAATTTAATCTCTTTACCATTAGCAATTCCCCCATTCTCCCCCTATTAGCAATGCAATCCCCCATAAATGTATTTCTGGGCAATTAATTCCCATGTATAATCATGCTATCAGTTGTTTCTCTAAGGGAATATTATTGTTTAACCCTTGGCACTGTCTCTGTGGCTTGTGTTTGACTTGGCAATAAATTACTATAGTTATTCTCCTTTAAGAAGATTTATTATTGAACACAAATAATACATGTAAAGATTTATTTTTTTTAACCAGAGTAAAGCAGTTACAACCAAACAATCCCACTCTGGATGAGTCTCTTCCTGCACTACAAATCAGTTTCTTGGGATGCTGACTCCCTAAACAAACCAGAGCAAGCCATGTGCCACAAAAGCAGGATCCTGTGCTTCATTCTTGCCCAAATCTTCCTCTGCGAATCCTCAGAGCCTTCTGACACCCCTAACAACAGGCAGTTCCTCTGTTCCTCTTGTGTCACCCTTGAGGCAGGACCGGGAGTGAGGTGACACATAGTTTCTAGCTCTCTTCAGCAGGCTGAATCCGAGTGTATTAGAAACCCTTTCTTTTATACATCATTCCAATACAGGTGGACATGACTGGTCATTTAATCAACACCCCATTACACAACTGGCTAATTAAGAAAACACCTTTTGGTAAACATCTTATGAGAAAACAACTGTTCAAAGCACCAGCTGCAAGATTGTTTTAATTCTTTCTCTCAGCCTTCTCAAAACTCCCCAGAACAATTCCTGGGAAAGAAATTCTGCTTTCTCTCTCCGACCAGACTGTCACATCCACACCTCTTGCAGCTCACGTTTTGGAATTTCCACTTTTCTCCTTGAGCAGTTCAGTTCTTTCGGCAGCGGTCAGTTCAGGGTACAAGGAGTCTGGTGGGGAAGAAGCCATCCGAGCTGTGGCTCACACAGCCCTGGCTCCAGAAGGATGCTCCCAGTAAAGGGGGCAGCTTTTGAAATGAAATGAAATGAAATGAAATGAAATGAAATGAAATGAAATGAAATGAAATGAAATGAAATGACACATTTCTCCTCCCTCTCTCTCTGTCACAGCAATCGCCTCGAACCGGAGCAGCGCTGCCAGCGCCTTGCCGGGCCCCGGGGAGCACGGCGCTGACAGCAGCCTGCTGGTGTCCCCGCTGCTGGTGGCAGGGCTGGTGATCGGGCTGGTGCTGCTGCTGTCCTGTGCCACCATCGTGGTGGGCAGCCTGCGCCGGGACCGCCGGGCCCGCCCGCCCCGCGCGGGCAGCGCGGCTGCCGACGGTAAGGAGCCGGGAATGGGCAGGGATGCACGGGAACCACGGCCGCTACAGGGATCGGTCACGGCGGCTGGCAGGGCAGAGGCAGCCCCGGGCAGGGTGCCCACACGGGTGATGGCTCACAGAACCCAGCTCACTGCCCTCGGCATCTGTAAGAGCCTAAATGAGAGATGCGGGACTCCAGGCGGCTCTTCCAAAACGCAGTTTATCACATGCAAGATGTTAGAGCAGTCCAGGGTCGTGGGTGACAGAGGCTGTGCCTAGAGCTGTCAGCTGCAGCTGCAGGCAGGCCTGGAGACCCTTAGTTTAGGTTACAAATGCGTTATATACTTTTCTTTGCTGAGCATCTTAATACAGTAGAACCAATCTATACCTTAACTTTTATCTATAGCCTAGCATAACTACTACAATTACCATATTCATGTTAGTATTCTCCAATCACTAAATGTTAGTTAGTTAATTCTGAGACCTTTTTTCTACTTGCAACACTGGCTGACTTGTTTGCCTGTGCTATCTTTCTACTTGGTAAAAACATCTTGTTCGAGGTGGGTTTATCCTTTGTTCTAAGTCATAAAAACCCCCTTCTAACTAACATGCCCTTTGCCTCCTTGGTTATCCAGCAAGACTGGCTCAGCAATTATTTTCTGCTATATCAAAACTTGCTTCCATCTCTATTCCTTCCTCAGCTTCTACATTCAAAAATCTTTCTGCTAAGCATACATATCTGTGAGACTTTCTTGTCAAACTTTCATCCTTCCCAACAGGCACGGGATAAGATTTATTCTCCGTCGCGTGTTCACATCCCCCGATAGCCTTGGTGCAGCATTTGCTGGAATTTCTGTTTCCTGGAAAGGCAGAGCTGTTCTCATTTCAGCCAAGTGCACCAGCCTACAACAATCACCGGGCAAATGCAGTTTATCTGAGTGCAAAAGTGAATATTTGCCTGGAAACAGAACAACAGGGCACCAAATATCATTAAACTGTCACCATCATTAACAGCGTCATTGATGACATCCGTGTCACCACAGCCACCATCGTTAGAGACTCAAAAATGTCCCAATTCCTACCTCCTAACCAAAATAAAACCCATGAAACAAAACAAACACATTTAAAAAATCTTACAGATAATTTGGGAATATCAAGGAGTTAATTTTGGAGTAGTGTTTTCAGCCCTTTGGGGCTTTGCTTTGTCAAGGAAATGACAGATTATTTCTATTTAAGGGGAAAAACCGGTTTTAAAAGTTACTGTGTAATTCTTCAGACAGTAAAAATTCCAGTGATAAATGGTGGACCATCAACAACCTCCTCTGTGAGCAGGCTCCTCTACCTGCAGCTTGTTATGGCTGCAGTTCTGTGCATATCATTGAGGGGCTTTTATTTATTTAGAAAAGCCAATAATAGTGAGCCACATAAAAATGCATTGGCTTAAATGTTGTTTTCACTGAGGTAGATTACATTGAAGTCAATTGAACTTCATTTAGTTACTTGGATCAGGAATGTTTACGTTTAAACTAAACAAATCTTCTAGGACCAGTTTGTCCCCTTGGAGCAAGGAATAATTTCTTCTTGGCTTTTCCAGAAATATTTATCCAGATAAATGAATAACATCTATATTTTGGGAATAAAATTTAGAGTCCAAAAGAATTGAAATACAAACTGCCATGGCAACCTACAGAGGGAAAATAAAAACAAAATCCAGAAAACTAATGTCTACTATTACAGTAATATCAATTTTCCTAATTTTCAGCAGCTACATTGAGGATTAAATAGTTAAACCCAAACTGGAGTTACTGTTTGACCCAATATTTTGGCATGATAAAATACTGACCATTAAGCTTTAATCACTGTGTTTAAATCTACTACTTTGACAGTTTCAACTCCTGGAAGAAGCCTAGAGCCAGGCAAAAACAAAAAGGAAAATTTTCAAACTCCTTGTTAGATATAACAATGCTAGATAAATGGAAAAGAAAAGCATATTTGGGGAGATATTCAAAAGAATAATCCTGAACTAAATTATGCCACACTGCATTACGTGGACACACACACACACTAATTAACCTTTTAACATAGAAAATAGATTTTTGTGTGTGTGTGTCTGTGCTATTTTCCAGCTTTTCCCATTTTTGTCAGTGTTTATTGAGAGCAGCATTTTCTCAGCAATCAAACCCCTGCCCCTCCTGTTACAACCCTCCCAGAATGGACAAACTTCCCAGGGATGCAATTGCTGGAATTGCAGTTACCCCACAAAAACCTGAAGCTGCACAGGGTAGAACCCACACTCCTTTTCAGCCTCTGAGGCCCAAGAAAAGCTTTGGAACTTCCAACTGCGTTGTGGGGCAGCACTAAAGGCCCAGTCCCTGTGCCTGAAACACCACCGTTCACCTACAGGTGGGCTTCATTCACTCTTAAAGAAATAAGAATATCCCGTGAGAACTGATTGTTCCAAAATACCCACAACTCCTCTGCCTCAGGAAGGGTTTGTTTTCTGATTTGTGGCAGTGTTATAAACGAGTGACAGAGGAAGAGCAGCCAATGTAAATTCTTGTTTTGCAGCCCCAGATGGTTTCTCCCACGGCGGCTCCTCTGCAGAGCTGCGATCCACCTGCAGCGAGGAGCTCCCCCCAGCCTGTGACCTTGACTCCTACCTGGATATACTTTCTCAGGTGACCATCATGTATCCTGATCCACCTCCACGGTAAGCACTTGCCTGACATTCTCAGGGTTACAGTCCTGCACTGGCAAAGCCCACTGCAGAAATTCAGCTCACACAAACTCTGAATACAGACAGACCTTGTTTCGTTTGAGTGTAAGTTCAGGTTTTCCTTAGCAGAATACAGTTTTACTAAATGAAGATGTGGACAGGAATTTTCATTCAGTGATATTCACATTAAAATTTATCATAGTGATAACATCCTAATGAGACACACAAGTAGAATTACTTAAAATCATCTTTCTTTGAAAGAAATGCATTTACAAGTCAAAGTTTCAAAGTCAAAAATACATACTTTTCCCAAGAACTTCCAAGTTACATTTATTACTGATCTTGAGAGTGTTCAGATCAGAGGAAACAGAAAAACAGAATTGTAGAAATCATTCAGCAGCTCCTAAATTGTGTGCCCACATTCACAGGGTACAAGAACAGCCTCGTGAGCCACAGGAGCTGCACTTTGGGCCATGGGCATCTCCTTCATGTGCCTCAGCCCCCCTGAGGTCCAGAAATGAAGGGATTCAGTTCAGACTCCTTCCAATGAACCAACAGGAATAATTTTAAGCAGAACTTCAAGCTTTCTGTAGTGCTGTGTCTTACAAACAGCAAACACAGGTTGGACAGCCATGCCCCCCTTTCTTTTTCTTTTTTTTTCTTCCTTTTAAGCAGACTCTTTTTGAGTTAAAGCACTATAAGACCAGCCCTTTTCTGACTGTGGTATAGAGCAGCTCAGCACTATGAGCACACCATACATGGATCTTTGCTTTGTTTATTCTGTGCATGTTCTACAAGCAGCAGTTATGTATTACCTATATATATACACATATAGGTAACATATCATCCTATATAACTAATGGGCTTTTAGGGATTGTGTAAATATTTTACCAGAAAGCTCACATGTGAAAAATTACTCTGAGCCTGGCATCTAAATGTGTATAATTTCATATAAATCCACTTAGGAATTTAGACTGGATTTTGGGCCCACACCCACGAGTCTTTCCTAATAAAAGGCAGCCAGCTGACGCCCAAGCAAGACTCTGAGTGGGCAGCTGGCCAGATTCCTGAGAACAAACTGACACTATAGTTCTTTAGCAGACAGATCATCAGAGATTATAGCAAAGGATGCTTCCATTTGCAGCTGGAAACAGGCACAGAGAAGGTTTTTCCACTTCTATGGAGTTGTGCTTAAAGGAGATATGAGTGACACAGGACAGCACAGATTATCCACAGCTTGCAGTACATTCTGCAGTGGCTCTGTAACCAGCCTGGCAAGGGTGAATTATCTTGTGTCCCACCTGTTCTCAGAATATTCTGGGACACGTAAAGGTGTCCAGCCACTGCCTCCTCCAGCTTCCCTGCTGGGCTGAGTGGACTGTGTCCCTGAGGATCCACTCTGCCCACACTGGAAAACACTGCTCATCCCAGTAATTACAGCCCTGCATCACAGGTCCCAGGTAGAGATTATTGTGAATGGTTTGGCTATTTTCATACCGCCACTGCAGTTAAATATTTTAGAAAAAGTAGCTTTGGCAAATCATCAAAATCTTAGTAAATTTTATATCTTAGCAACACAATTTGGGGAACTTAGGGAAAGCAGATGGCTACATGGAGACTTTCAAACTTGCTATTAATGCATTCTCCAGACCATTGTAACTGTTCAGAAAAGCACTGGGTGAGAGGTACTGTCTGAATTACTGCATTATGTAAAGCCTGAAAAACTCCTGTACATCTCCCTTTATATTCTCCTGCATGGCATAACACTGCAGTGTCTGTTTTTAATTAGTAGAGCATGGAAATTATTTGAAAGCTGACTGTCAGACATGGCCTGGAAGCAGAAACAAGACATGCCTGACCTTGTGCATTTAACTCCCTGGGATCAATCTCATTGCATATGATAATATTTTGAAGAGTAGGTTTACTGAAACATAGCACTGCCTAAATGAATGTAATTCCTCCTCCTAATTCCTGGAGGGCAAGATGTAATTTAAAGCTAAACTAGCAAGGCCAAAATGTACTGCAGCTGTGGCATCAGCAGAACAGAAATGAAGAGCAGCAAGGAAAGCAACTGCACTGGTAAATAACTCTTACAAATCTTTGAAGTGAGAGAGTTCAATGAGTTGAAAGCAGTGAGTGCTGCCAGGATAATTTCCTTTATCCACCTGGTGCTGCAAGGCCACCTGCATTCCAGCACCCAGACAGGAGTGTGCAGCTCCTCACACCATTCCTGTCAGAGCACACACTGAAATGGTTTCAGGAGAAAGCACAACACCTTCATTTGGCCAAAGGGTGGTTAGTTATATTTCATATATTTCATAGCTGAGGTTTAAACCACGAAAGCACAACACCTTCATTTGGCCAAAGGGTGGTTAGTTATATTTCATAGCTGAGCTTTAAACCAGAAAATGAGTGGAGAAGGGATTTAAGGGGAAGACTGATGAAACACAGAGGCAGTCCCCATGTCTGTGGCTGAGCTCCCTGTTCAGGCCTCCCCACTCCCAACTCTCCAGCTGGAAGTCCAATAACTGTTTATATAAAACACTATTTATAGAAGAAATGTTATTGGTAAATTAATCTATGAAAAATGCCTTGGGATATTAGTATTTGCTCTGATCTCTGAATCACAAGTTTCATTTGTGGCTCAATCTGATTATCCCCACAGACACTTCCACTAACCCCTTCCTTGCATTAGATTAAGAGGGATGCCAGGCATGGAATTTTGTCATTAGCCTGCTGTAGTTGCAGGGTGGTTATAGAGAAGCCATTTGGTCAATTTGTTTTGACAGCCCAAAATATACAGTGCTGCTATCTATAAACATCCCTTTAGGACAGTTAATGGCTTTTTAATGAATCTCAGATCTGTGCTAGCATCTGTCACATTGATTTTACATGAGGCATAGATGGGAAATACAAAAACAAAATACAGGGGATATGAACCAAACAGTTTCAGAATATGAGGGGTTTGTATTTCAGAGCATATTTCTGATATGTACAGATACTGGCAGCAGGGCAGGGCTGGAAGTTAATGTTTCATAGTCTGTGCCACCAGACACGGCAAAGCCTTTGTTTCTAAGAAATTCAGTGTGAGAAAGATGATCCAAGTGATCTCCCAACAATTCTAAACCACAGAATTCTAATCCCTCCCACTGAACACATCCAGCCAGGACAGAAGACAATCTCCCTGCCACATCTTACCTATCATCATGGTCAACATGGCTTAGAAAGAAACACTGGAAAGCCTGTAAATCCAATATCTGCCATTTTGTTCAACAGTCACTGTGCTGGGGGGAGTAAAATCACACTGTTGGAGATGAAACCTTTATAGACAGAAACCATGAGCTCACGTTTACTGTGCTGAGTTCTTTGTAACACACATTTCTAGTGAGCATTACTCGTTATCTGCTTACCAATATGTAGTAAGAAAGCTGGTTAAAAATAAGTTGAGTTCACATGTTTGAAGTGGATTGAATTACAGTACCAACTAAAGTCCAAGTAAATTAAAAACTATTACACTTTCTTTAGGGGAGTCAGTAAAATCCAAGCAATGAGGAGATTTCACAGCAGGAAAGGACTTTTATCAACTTCTCACCTTGTGGCCAGGGAAAATGCATCTCACCCCACTGCATAAGTGCTTTTGCACTCCTTAGTGACTGGATATTAATGGTATGTACAGAGCTTTAGGCAACCAAGATGATTGCCTGAGACTGCTGAGTGTCTGACAGGACATCCCAGAGGAATGACTGCTCAGGAGGATGCAGGGATTTACCTCCAGGAATGGTTTTATTGGGAGCCACAGAAGTCCTCTCCAAACTTCACACTGAGTGTTCCCCACAGGGCACATGGAGTAAAAAACCATTCAGCCCTCTCTATCCCAGCATTCATATTAAATCACATTGTGTGAGGGTTTGTTTGTGGGCTCACTCTTCCTCAGCTGGTCACCCTCCCTAATCTACATAGGATCTGTTCTAGAGAAAATTGTCTTATTTAGGCTTGATAAATCCCAGTATTCTCAATAACCATGTTCAGCCTGCATTGTTTAAATGGGCAAATCAATTTAAAAATTATTCTAAAATGACAAAAGGAAATGCTCCTGTCTTAAAGTCAGACACTAATTTCCCTTTAAATATATATTTTTAAAAGCCTACTTAAGGGACTTCCTTTTTTAAGACATACTTTTCCATCCCCCACTTCTGAGGATGCAAGTTAGCTAAGCCAGCCTCCTGCATTTTCTTGAAAGGCAGAATTAGGCTTGCAGAGAATGGACATAAAATCTTGCTATACTGTGCTGTATTCCTTTGCCAAGGCTGTTTTCCTGAGAGCAAACCAGGTGAGGAGCTTTTGCCACATTACACTGACAGGTGGCAAAGCATGAGATGGACATTAGGGGTTAAGTTCAGCTCTTACATCAACACCCCCACTGAGATTTTCAGTTAGTAAGGTAAAAAATGTCACTGGAAATATGACAGGTTTATAATTCCATTAGGTATCATGACATGAGCTAAAACTCTCAATTCCTTTAACTCCAAATACCAAACACTCTGAAGCCCCTCCCTTCACATCCCAGTGCTATTCCTCATCAGCATCAGGGACAGAAACAAGTAAATTCCTAATTATTTTGGAAAACTTCTTATTTCAAGCTTAACTTTGTTTACAGCCAATTTGTGAGCATTTCTTTCTGTGGCGTTTCCATTCCTCTTAATTATCCACACCTTTCTCTTTTTTCTTTTCTTTGTAGTCAAAAACACTCTCACACCTCAGCCTGTGTGTTGGGAGGCTGGGGCACAAAATTCCATTGATTTTCTGTCAATAAAAATACCTGTGGGCACCTTCTGACCAGCTCTCTTTATACCTGCCCCAGATCCACTCTGCAGGTGCAAATTATTGCTGCATAAAAAACACCCTGCAGCAGTGACAGCAGCAACACCTGATGGAAGGGAAGCACCAAGGATTTCTAACAAGAAATCTACAGTGCTATGCAGAGCAACCACAAG